CAGCCCTCTGGGGTATCAGCTACTCCTCCCAGTTTTGTATCATCAGCAAATTTGCTGAGGGAGCACTCTGTGTCCTCATCTAGGTCATAGATGAATAAATTGAACAGGACTGGACCAAAGACTGACCCCTGGGGGACACTGCTAGCTACAGGCCTCCAACTAGACTCTGCACTGTTGATCACCGCCTTCTGAGCTCTGCCATCCAGCCAATTCCTAATCCACCTCACTGTCCACTCATCTGGAGCTTGCCCAGGAGGATGCTGTGAGGGACAGTGTCAAAAGCCTTGCTGAAATCCAGATAGATGACAGATGAATGATATCCACCACTCTCCCCTCATGTACCTGGCTGGTCATGCCATCATAGAAGGCTATTAGGTTAGTCAAGCATGATTTCCCCTTGGCGAACCACTCCTGAGCACCTTCTTGTCTCCCTCACGCCTAGAGAAAACAGCCAGGATGAGCTGTTCCATCACTTTTCCAGGAATGGAGGTGAGACACACTGGCTTGTAGTTGACTGGGTCCTCCTTGCCATTTTTGAAGACCAGTGTAACATTGGCTTTCTTCCAGTCTTCCAGCACCTCCCCCATTCTCCAGGACCTTTTGAGGATGATGGACAGCAGCTTAGCAACAACATCCGCCAGCTCCTGCAGCACTCTTGGATGTGTCCCATCAGGGCCCATGGATTTGTGGATGTCAAGTTTCCCTAGGTGCTCTCTGACCCCATCTTTCTCTACCCAGGGGAGGTCTTCCAGCCTCTGGGATTCCAGAGGACTGCCCTTGGTAAACAGTGAATCAAAGAAGGAATTCAGTACCTCAGCTTTTTCCGTGACTTTTGTAACCAGGATACCCATGCTGTTCACCAGCAGATCCATGTTTTCCCTAATCTTCCTTTTGGCATTAATATATTTGAAAAAGCTCTTCATGTTGTCTTTAACACCATCTGCCAGATTTGATTCCAAATGTGCCTTAGCTTTCCTTGTCACATCCCTGCATTCCCTGACATTCCTATATTCCCCCCAAGGAGCCGGTCCTTTTTTCCACTTTCTGTATAGTGCCTTTTTCTGTTTGAGTTTTGCCAGCAGCTCCTTGCTCATCCACACAGGCCTCCTGCCCCCTCTGCCTGACTTCTTACTCAAACGAATGCAGTGCTCCTGATCATGGAGGAAGTGCTGCTTGAATAGTAACCAGCTCTCTTGGGCCCCTCTTCCTTCTACGGCCCTAGCCCATGGGATTCTTCCAAGTAAGTCTTTGAAAAGACCAAAGCTGGCCCTCCTGAAGCCCATGGTTGGAAGATTACTCACAGCCCTCCTCTAAGTGTATCGATGCAGCTTGTAGAAAGAGTGGAAGTGCGATGTATTTTCCTGGGAGCTGGTTATGTGAAACAACTACCACTCTATAACCCAGCTGGAAGCAGAGAAAAAAAATGCATCTTTTTCACCCTGTGTCCTCTCAGCACGTAAGCCCACACTCAGGCACTTTGAATAAGGGAAGTTACTCTCTCAACCAGGGAGTCAGAGGATGATGAGCAAAGATGCATTTGAGCAGCTCAGGCTAAGCTGCCTGCTTTGATTTGGTGCCAAATGCATGAACAGAGACTGGGCAAGATCTGCCCACGTGCAGAGGAGTGAGCAAGCAGTGTGGATCCTGGAGCGGCACGAGCCACGCAGCATATGCAAGAGCTTCCCTCAAGCCACCGCTGAGACACACGTACATCACTCATGCCCTCACCAAAGGATCGACCCTACTGTTAGGGCAAGACCCTCGCGCTTTTTGTGTTCTCCAGGCAAGGGCAGCTATAGGAAACAGGTGACAGATGCCGAGTGCTCCAGCACGCTGAGGGATACTCTGCCCTCTTGCAGCCATTGGCTCTATGAGACGCAAGCAGCAGTAGAAACCGCCACAGCAGAAATCCCATCCTCTGGAGCTCAGAGGGTGGAGCTGGCTATGGAGTGTTGGGCTGAGGAAGTTGCTGCTGCTGGAGAGGGATACCCGAGAAACATGCAAGCAGGAGCAAAGATGCTGCTCACTCTTATTTGACATGTGTCGGGAGGCACTGGAAAGACAGAGGACGGCAGTTTACAGGCAAGTCTGCCTTTCATGTGCTGGACCTCAGTCCTACTGACAGGGGAACTAACACGTGCAATTGCTAAGAAACCCAAACACAGAGAGTGTTTACTGAGGACACAATGAACAAAGAGGTAGAACTGAAACCTGGGGCTTGTGTCCCACCTCTGGGCAATGTTGCCTTCCCAGCACTAGGGCTACAGACCTGCTCATGAGGCAACATCTCATTTTGCTTTAGTCCCTTCCAACCTCAACCATTCTGTGGCTCTGTGAAAAAGAGCTGTACCACCAGAGCCCAGGACCCAGCAAATGCATGCTGCTGCAGAGGGGAAAGGCAGGTAAATCTAGGCTCATCTTAACCTCTCTCCTCAGGATCCATAAGGAAGGTAAGAAGAAAGTGGGCCCGGTCACTCATGTAGCCACCTGCTCATCATGTCACCACCCTGCAATGTAGCAACAAAAAAGGTATTTATCTTGCTTCTTTCCCACAGCATCCTGATTTTGCTTGCAACCAAGTAGAAGTACTGCTCCACAAAACAACACAGACTTCTTTTTTAGTCACTGACCATGCTTAGACACAGAATATTGTTGTTTTAATTTTTACAAATGTTCAAAAGAATCACTGAGCAAACAGTGACACAAACCAGCAGTTCCAGGTGCCCAATGCATTACATTTTATTATCTCCACTCTCTTGGGATGAGGAGGGCAAGAGAACCAAG